AAAAGTAAACAAACAAGACTGGATATCTACATGTTGACAGTTTGCTAAAAGTAAACAAACAAGACTGGATATCTACATGTTGACAGTTTGCTAAAAGTAAACAAACAAGGCTGGAGATCTACATACTGACAGTTTGCTAAAAGTAAACAAACAAGGCTGGAGATATACATGCTGACATTTTGCTAAAAGTAAACATAAAAGGCTGGAGATCTACATGCTGACATTTTGCTAAAAGTGAACAAACAAGGCTGGAGACCTACTGCTGACAGTTTGCTCGAGTTATAAATCCCTATGATGATTCCACTATAAAATTATTGTCAGTGATATCTATTGTAGTGTGGGATTACACAGGAATTTTGAAAAAAAAAAAAAAAAACTAGACGTTTTCCTAGCATGTTTCCAAGCACACCCATTAGTTGGAAACTACAACTCGTGCATTTTCGAGCTCATTAATTGGAAACTGCCACGTGAAAGGTTCCCAATTTTCTGTTGCATGTCATTACTCGAGTTTGCTGTCTCTACATAGATTTTGTGACTACATTTCAGCAAGTTTTTAACAGTAAACGATTACCATAGTAGATTTACCTACTCGGGTATCAGTGACAATTCTTTCTAGTTCATATACTTAGCACAGTAGGCTGATGAAGAACATACATACCAGTCCTGTAGACCTAACAAGGTAAACACGTTACTGCATCTGTTTACATTGCATTAACTCTTTCAACACAGGTTTAATTATGTTGACCGACCACATGACCTCTCTGTACTCAATTAGTCTTTAAAGATTTGACAATACTAACTTTTAATATAGTACATATATCTTCACAAATTTTGGCAGACTTTTAGTGAAGATTATAAGACTTTCACATACAGTCATATTTTTAGTGAAGTATTTTAAATAAACTAAAAAAAAATTTCTGTAACTATATCGAGCATTTGTTTTGAATAGTCCGTGTGCAAAGTAATTTTCATGTTAAGATTAAAATTACTTTTCTTCATCTCAAAAATATATTTTCTGTTATTTTCTCTACTCTAACTCCTTACGAGATTGGTCAATTTGACCAACCTTGTAACCACCAAAAATAAGATGTAAATAAATCTAAATTACCCTTTTTTCTTTATGGAATAACTTCAAATTATAACATGAAACTATATTTGTTTATCCTAAATAGCTTTAAACTCGTAACAGTATATATCTACTTATATTTACATTTTATTGTTTTATTGCCTTTTGAACTGTGTAGCTACTATTCGTGCCATTATAAGTTGTAAATCACTTTGGGAATGTGGAGCTCATGTTACACTATCAAATTACCTTATATATGAGCTGCTTGTGTGCATGCCTTACGAAACATTTTTATCATATTATTACTATTTATTCTACCTAATCTAATATTATAATAATAAATATAGAATAAACATGAAAAACAAGAAATAAAGTACTTAGCCAAGTATTTTTTTTTCTACTCTTTGCTTTCGAATGTCAATGACACTTAACCTTACTTCTCTTTTTTAATACTAATGGTAGTAGTGCATTAAATAATTTTTATTTAATTACATAATTCACCAAAGAACATAGTATAATAACAATCAAAATGCAGACAATTTCCCCTAACTATCATAATTTTTCTGGCTTTCTAACTATGCAACAAGAGCCGTTACAAATTCATCCAAGTTAGTTGTTAACTTTCCCGTGGGAACTAAGCTTGTACAACAAGAGAAACTGATGATTATCTATTCAGATGATATAAAATGTCATTTGATAGATGAAAACTTTGGCTTTCTATTGGTTATAAATTATAAATAATTGAAAAAATCCTGAAAGAGGATGTGACAGGTGGGTGTGGCAAGAGGGGTCTGATTTTCTATTTGATAGCTCTGTAACCAAACAAAATTGAAGGCTATAAAAGGCTAAGCAATGATGATTTTATAGCGGGTAATTTACGTTTAATTTTGTAGTTATTGGAGAGGTGGTAGATAAAATAGAGAAGAGGGGATGCCTAGAGAAAATATGTCATTTCTCACACAAGAGAAAAATTCAGGATTTTTTTTAAATATTGTTAGAAAGAAAACAAAAAGGCATTATATGAAATAAGAGCTTGTCTATTGGGTCAAGAAATTATCTCATACAATGGAAATTTGAATAGGTATATGATCAATATGCATATAATGATGCAAGGAGAAACCTCCACTTCACCCATATCTAGACTATGATTCTTGTGTTGTTTTTCAAAACTGACTTTCCAAACAAAAATGTTAACATTTAAAATTCATTGAAAATGACAATCATTAATTTTAATCAAGAAAAAAAAATATTCCTTAAGATTTTGCAGATTCAAAAGTCTGAAAATTGATAAGTTTGGAAGGGAAAGTTGAACTATAAATAGACAAATGTAAAAACAAACAGGAGCATTTACTTTCCTCAAATTCATATCAGCACTAAAATTGTACTGTAAAATGCATATCTAGCATTAAATTGAGATGACATAGTTAAACAGCAGTAAGGTTTTTGTTGTTTATTTTTTATTTTTATAACAGCAACGATTTGAAGAATTTCAAAAACTCACCTGTCTGCTCTACTGGAAACTTGAAACAGAGGGGAAGAAGTGAGACAAATAGTGCAGCCAGTTCCTTACCACACAAGAGGTTCTGAAAATAATTCAATAACTATTAAACATAGAAAACAAACAAAATGTTTTCACAAATAAAAAATCAAAATAAGATATATGAATGTTGGTTAGCAATGTTGCCCCGAACAGCAATAGGCAGATGGCGCTATCTAACAAAGTCAGTCATTCTCTTGGGAATTATAACATAAGGATGTAGGTTAACAATATTTTCCCACATAACAGCAAACAGAGGACACTAGTTAACAAAGTCAGTTGTTTCCTTCATCATTTCATACATGTTAATCATACACCTGTTCAAATTTCTATCTTAAGATATATATATATTTAAGATCAAATAGCCAAATGTTCATATACACATATTTCATATAACAAGAGCTTGCTTTTTTTTTCCCCCTCTTACTTTTTAACAAAAAACCAAGTGTTCCCTTGGCATTTGTATCATACGGATACATTACAAACCTTATCTATAAACAGAAACAAGTAGATGACACCACAGTCTGAGAATAGATTCTCTATGGGCACAAGAGAATACAAATTCTCTCCATAGACAAACCCATAAAGAGAGGGAGAAACCATTCTCTCCGTAGATAATCCCATAAAGAGAGGGAGAAACCATTCTCTCCGTAGACAAACCCATAAAGAGAGGGAGAAACCATTCTCTCCGTAGACCAACCCACAAAGAGAGGGAGAAACCATTCTCTCCGTAGACCAACCCACAAAGAGAGGGAGAAACCATTCTCTCCGTAGACCAACCCATAAAGAGAGGGAGAAACCATTCTCTCCGTAGACAAACCCATAAAGAGAGGGAGAAACCATTCTCTCCGTAGACAATCCCATAAAGAGAGGGAGAAACCATTCTCTCCGAAGACAAACCCACAAAGAGAGGGAGAAACCATTCTCTCCATAGACAAACCCACAAAGAGAGGGAGAAACCATTCTCTCCATAGACAAACCCACAAAGAGAG